AGAGGCTTCCCACTTGTGGTTTTCTCTGTACAGGTGCCAAAGCAGGAGGGTACAGACGACTGTGGTGTTTACACTATGCGCTTCATGCATTACGTCGTGGAGACGGGCTTCGTAGACCTTTGGCATATCAATCTGATGGGAACCCCCAGGAACTGGCGCAGGCAATACCGCAAGGACCTTACTAGGTGGTCTAACTATTTTTCAAAGGTGGCTGAAAGTGCGGCTCTGTTGTCAGATGTAACTGCCGCAACTTAATTCGTCGCAATGACACTGTCACAAAGTAAGGTCGCACTGTTGCGAAGAGGATTTATTAATGACTGCTGCGTTTTTAATGTATAATCTGCATTGGCCAGCAGTTATTTTATAGGTCCATTACATATCATGAACAGTTGTACTGTAGTAACAACGCATTACGACAGATCACCCCGCATGTGAGGCATGAAATCCGCGGGGCGTACCCCTCGATGGATCTACACAGCTTTCGCCGATCACGTGGCTTACCGAGGTCAAACCCGAATTGTGCTCCCAGATCTGGGTCACGTCCGCCTGCTACTCCTCGCATGTTCTAGCGATGTTAGGACATCGCCTGCCATGTCGGCTGAAAAGTGCCGTTTCTGCCAGCGTTACTTCGTGTGTTACCAGACACTGCGCAGCCATCAGGTTACAAGTAAAAGATGCAGGCGACTACAAAACCGCGTCGCACGAGGGAAGTCTCTCTTTGGCCTACGAGTTAAGCGTGACAAAAACGGCATCTATAAGGTACACGACTATGGGTCCGCGCCGCTGCCCACACAGCCCACGGCAGGGATGCAGGACGCCTACATCCTGTCAGAACCAGGTCCAGATGTTAATATGACTCCGGCTGCGGAGGATGCTCATAGTGACTCGGTAGTGTTGGATCCGGAAGAACAGCCTGAGTTGCTCGACACTAGGGCCGAGGTTTGCATCTTGTCACGGAATCATGGATTCAGCAACGGGGCCATCACGGCAACAATCCGGCTGCTTAGGGATCCAGACTTAGACCCTTCGCAGCTAGAGGGGTGGAACTCACACCGGGACCTGGAGCGGTTCGAGGCTTCATTCGAGGTGGGGGAGGAGAACGAGTGGGTTGTCTCCGAGATCCCGGTTGATCACGAGGTCGAGTTCTTGACGTTTCGGCACCGAAATGTGCTCTCGGTGAGGACCCCTGGTGCACGAATAATTCATGCTGTCCTATGCACGTTGCCCTCGTACCGAGCTTTCTTGCACGCCTTTTTGCGACCTTCCCATAAACTCCACAGGTACTTAAGGCGATGTACACACGTCAGTCCGCGATCCAGGGCTTTCAGACAAAACCTGCCCAGTGGAAGGTGGGCAACGTGCGGCGTTACAGCACGGCAATGAACACTGATTTCATGCTGCAGGCCCAGGTACGTGTCACCCACATCCTGGCATACGTTCGAGATCACCCGTCAGTAGCCCATAGGTGATCTACTAGCCCAAATCCCTCATGCATTGAATGCATGCTCTACAGGAACGCATCAAGGACCGTGGAGAGGCGTTGGGAATAATTCTTTTCAGCGATCAAACCAATCTCTCCAACAATGGCCGACAGACAGCCCACCCCGCGATGATGGCATTCGCAAACACGCCGGAGTGGGCAAGGTGGGCGGAGGGGGGCACGGAGATGATAGGCAATCTGCCTAACATTCCTGGTGACCTGTTCCCCGAACAGAAGTGTGCCGCCTTCCAAGATGCGCTGGACATTGTGGCAAACCCGCTCATGGAGACATCCCAGCTTGACGGGTGAGATGTCGTGTAGCAATGCAACGACTATGTTGTACCCCCCAGCATCCCCAGTGCGGCTCTCATCCTTGCATGCTACTTTTGCGGTTTCCAGGGGGGGGATACAGGTGGTGGATCATGCGGGGGGGGAGCACACGGTCTACCCGGTGCTCTATGCCTATGTGACTGATCACCCGGAGGGGTGCAAGGTTTCTTGCACGATGCAGTGCAAGTCCTTCAGGCCCTGCTCCATCTGCCTTGTGGATCGGGACAACCTGAACAAGGTCCAGCCGGACACTATCAACCGCACGGTGAAGGGACAGAAGCTCATCTACAAGAAGATGCAGCGAGCAGTACGAGCCAAGAAGAAGAAGGAGCTGGCCGCTCTTAAGGCCAAGTGGTCCACGCACCAAGTGCCTGTAGGTCGCCCATGCACTGCGTTTCCTAAGCTGCTGTAAGCTCCGTACCCGCATGCCATAACATTCCTGTCTTTGCATTCATGCCCTTGCATTCCTGCCCTTTGACCGAGTCCCATGCATCCCAACCCTTGCATTTCTGTGTAAGCAATCTTGTCTTTGCATTCCTGCATTTGCATTTGTATCTTTGCCTTCCTGTCTTTGCCTTCCTGCCTTTGCATTCCTGCCTTTGCATTCCTGTCTTTGCCTTCCTGCATTTGCATTCCTGCCTTTGCATTCCTGTCTTTGCATTCCCGCCTTTGCATTCATGCCCCTGCATTCCTGTATTTGCATTCCTGTCGTTGCATTCATGCCCATGCATTCCTGCCTTTGCATTCATATCGTGTCTGCTGTGCAGTGTGTGCTTTGGAAGTGGGAGTTCTCAACCACTTCGTGGGGCAACATCTACCTTGCTCTTCCGCCAGACATCATGCACATGATTGAACAGGGCTTCTGGCTCCATGCGATGCGGTGCTTGGCTGCCAAGCTGACGAGGAAGGAGCGGAAGATCTTGCTTGAGTACGTAGTGCCCGGTTGCTCTCTCTTGCCCCAAACACGCTTGGCCATGGAGGCTCTCTTCCACCCAGACCACTCATCCATGCCCACCCGCTTTCTCACACTCATGGCAGGCGTTTCAACGCTCTGAAGGCTGTGACGCCGTCATTCCTGCTCAGGCTCCCAGGGGCGTGGATGTACTTCACTACGACGGCGGGTTTCGCAGCATCAGAGCACCGTGCTATGATGCAGGTGCTCCCGCTGATTCTGTATCTTCCGGGCCGCGACGACATCTACAAGGCGGTCCTGGCGATAACGAGTTGGTACAAGCAGTTCATACGTGCGGAGTACCACACCGACTCCAGCCTCAAGAAGATGGACGAGTCCGCCACAGAGTGAGTCGGCTCACGCACTGGGACATTTGGTTCCACTGTATATCGTCCCCACCCCGTGCACTAGTCATCTGATCCTTCCCTATTACAATGGTCCCCTGCTTTTACATCCCCTGGTCCCTCCTTCCATCCCCCGCTCCATCCTTCCATCCCCTGGTCCCTCCTTCCATCCACCGCTCCCTCCTTCCATCCCCTGGTCATTTATTCAGGCGGGGTCTGCCCATCCCGTTCTGCTCCCTTCCTACTCTTCTACTCTGCCCATCCCGTTCTGCTCCCTTCCTACTCTTCTACTCTGCCCATCCCGTTCTGCTCCCTCCTTAATCTCGTGGTCCTTCATTCAGGTGGGATCTGCCTTCTCCGTTCTGCTCCATTCCTTCACCCCCATGGTCCCCCCTGAAACCCTTTCTCTACTCCTAATTCCCTTGGTACATTGCCCATCCCCCCAGACCCGCCGTCCACCACAGGTAACGTATGTAACCAGGGTCTGCCCTACTCGTTCCGGTCCCTCCCTTACATCCTCTGGTCCCGTCGTTCCCCCACTGTTCCTTCTTTCGAATAAGGTATACCCTTAACACTCTAATCCCTACCTTCGCTCCCTTGATCCCTCTATCCTCCCCTGGTCTACAGGTCAATAAGGGTCTGTTCATCCGGTGCGTCCGTTCACTCCCTAATTCCCTACTTCCTCCCTGGTCTTCCACACAACCAGGGTCTGCCCTTCCCGTGCTAGCTCACCATATAACATCCCCTGGTTGGACGGCCAGCCAGGATGATTCCCTCATGAAATTCACTTCAACCCTGGGTGGGAATTTCTCCACTACCTCGTCTCTACCTCTGTCCAGAACCTGGTTCCCTTCCCCCACCCTAAACCCTTTAGAGTTTCTCTTCCTCGCACCCCGTGTCAGTCACCTCTTTTGAAGCGTTTGTGCAACCTTTTCCCCTCTGCACGTCTCACACTATCCATCCGTGCACGCTCCCTAGTAGGATGGTGGCTTTACTAGAGGTGGCATTTGACAACCAGAAGTCGAAGTGGCACATCGTGAAGATACATGGCGTCAGCCACGTCACCTCCTCTATCACGGCACGCGGCGTCCCCCAGGAGTACTCATCGAACTGCTACGAGCACGGACACAAAACAACAGTGAAGAGGCCATCTCGCGGGTCAAACTGGAAGAATGTGGGGGAGCGCATCGTCAAGAAGCACATCCAACACGCTGTGGTGCGTCAGCTAACCCGCGAGGTCGGGGGCGACGCGTCGTACGAGACGGCCATGAAGCAGGTATGGAGCGGTTTGATGGGTGGCCAAAGGGGTGGAGGGATTCGAACTCCATGCGTTTCCAGGTACCCTAGCTGCCCTATTCCCATATTTCTCCAAGTGTATAGACGGACCTACCCCTTAGCCAACCCCGTAACAACCTCGTGCCTAACACGCCACTGCCGCTTCCATCCTCCAAATGCCATACACGGCACAGGCATCCCTGAGGAACCAGCGTGTCCTCACTGTTGTGTGATGTCATCATATGCTATCACATTCTGTCTGCCTCCCATCCCATGTTTTCAACTTGCATGTGTGGTTTGAATGTGCAAGCATTTGTGTGGTGTGTGTTCTGGAGTTTGGGAATGTGTTATGTGTTATTTTGTTTGAGCAGGTATTTGTGATGATAGATCTTGAGAAGATCTTTCCGACGCAACAAGAATCTCTTCAATTGGAGCAACAACGCGAAAGCTATGAAGATTCAAAGTTCATGAGCTTGCGTTACAATTGCGGCGGTTACTAAGTGAAGTTGTGGGGTGACTTTATATGGAGTTGGGACCTTTGGGGTTGGGGAAACTTGTCACTCTACTGTAACAGCTGCAAATAGGTTGGGAACAACCAAGCTAGGTTGGCAAGGGTGGCCAACTTGGATGGATTGGTTGGGAAGGGACAAAGGTCAAAGTTGAGGTTCCTATAGGGAGGGAATCTTTGTGCTTATGGGGTTTCCTTGGTTGGGGACTCTCTTGGGACCTTCCCTCTCATCCCTCTCTTCCTATCCCAACCTTTCTCTTGCTCCTTCAAATTCCTTGTGAGATTCTTGAACTTTGATTGAACCTTTTGAGATTGAGTTAAGTTCTCCTCCTACAGCTTACCCCCTAATGCGTCGAAAGCCATAGCGTCGCGAATACTTCATCAATCAACGTGATTCAAATTGGGAACGGTAGCTGAGATTAAGAGCTACAACATATCCAAGTTTCGCGACATTCCAACGGCTAGTTTTTCGTCGACGTTGTTTCTTGTGAAGACGACTTTTCTGTCCAGAATTTCGGATTTATATTTTGAGTAATTCTAGTTCCTAAGTTCACCTAGACTCCGTCCTTAATCCTAACAAGTGGTATCAGAGCTGTATTAAGGACGTTGAGAGGAGTCTACAGAAGTGTGAAGACCCTTCTAGACCCACCATGGCCTGTGGGTGTGCCTAAGTGGTGTTCTAAAGGTTGGATGTGTCTTCCGCTAAGGGAAACTCTGCCGAAATTTCGTGGACGCCGACACTTGTGAAAATATCGAGGGAGCTGAGTGTGGACAGCAAAGAGGGGCTGAAATTCGTCATTTCTCAAGGAGAAGATGAATGAGAGAGGAGGAGATGCTAATGGAAGAGGAGCTGTAGCTGAGAAGACAAGTGAGCCGCCGCCATCAAAAGTTGAAGCTTTGGATGGCTCCAACTATGAGGAATGGAGCGGACGGATGAGAAGTGCCTTCAAACGCTACAAGCTACTGAAGATTGCTGTTGGGGAAGAGAAGATGCCGGAAGAAGGCGAAGCACGTGAACGGTGGATTGAGAAAAGCACGGTGCTTTTCGACCTCATTCTTCAATCGGTCAACAAGGAGATGTTCGAGCACATCAAGGATCTTGTGGAAGCGGATGATTCGGGTCCAAGGGCGTGGAAACTACTACGTGATGTGGTTCAGCCCAACACTCTCCCGATGGTGATCGTGCTCGAGAAGGAACTTGCTGCCATCTCCATGCGACCAGGGGACGATGTGAAGCCGGTCCTTGACAAGATCAAGGACACCTATGCAAGGATGGCAGCAGCGGGCAGCAGTGTATCTCAGCTGCAGCAGTGCACCAAGATCATCTCGGTGTTGGACAACTCGTGGGATAACCTCATCCCCACCCTCAACTCTCAGCAAGATCAATGGACACCTGAGTGGCTAAGGCAGCAGATTCTGCAGGAGGACTTCCGCAGACGCCATGTGGGAGGCGGTGCTGCCACTAAGACTGCTGAGGGGTATGGAGCTGCAGGGCGCAGCAGAGGAAGAGGGGGTTGGAAAGGCCGAGGCCGTGGGAGAAGCTTTGGCAGAGGTAGAGGCCGAGGTGACTATAATGAGGGGCATGGGAGCTCCAGTGGCAGGGGGAGTACCAGAATGGAGGGCACCTGCTGGTACTGCAAGAAGGTCGGGCATCCTTGGTTCAAGTGCTTCAGCAGGCCGGAGGGATGGTCACCTCCAGGCATGAAGCCGCCAAGTGGTGAACGCGCACAAGGTGGCGCTGTGCAAGGCTCAGGTGCACAAGGTGAAGGTGCACAAGGTAACGCCTATCCTGGGATGTATCTCATGGTTGAGGATGTGCATGGGCATGAGGGTGATGTGGGATCTGTGGGAAAGGTTGTGATGCACCCTCTCACGCACTGGGTGATTGATTCGGGTTGCACCAGTCACATGACTCCACGGGCAGATTTGCTTGATGAGGTAAAACCCCCTGGGAAGATCAAGTATGTGGCAGCAGCGTCAGGTGCTTTGCTCCCCGTGATTGGTGTTGGGAATGCCAAGGTTAAGGGAGCTAATGGGGAGCTTGTGGGGCTTGGGAATGTTCTGCTGGTTAAAGGCTTGTCTGCTAACCTTCTCTCTGTGCGGCGACTGCAGAAGAGTAAGGCCGAAGTGACCTTTGGACCAACCAGCTGCCGTGCTAAGCTTGGGAAGAAGGTGCTGTGGAGTCTGGAAGAGGAGACCAGCTGCATCAAGGACCTGTGGCAGCTGCCCATCATCCCTTGGAATGGGAAGACTCCAACAGCAGCAACGGCAGCAGCGGCAAAGGCAACAGCAGGAGGAGATGCAACTGCACCAACTGATGGGGTCCTGGAAGCAGTCAAGAAAGTGCAGAAGCAGCAGACACATGGTGAGGTGCTTGCTGGTGTGGATGCGAGTGCGGCATGGGCTAAGGCTTCATCAAGGAGTGGAGAGGCCGATTGGGAGACATGGCATGAGAGGTTGTGTCATGTGAACTTCCCTATGCTGCAGAAGTTGGTGAAGAATGGGAGCCTGAAGGGCTTGGAGGTGAAAGGGGAAGTGAAGGAGATTGGGAGCTACCCTACATGCTTGGAGACCAAGTTCTCCAAGTTCCCCTTCAACAGTGCAACAGGACCAGCCAAGACCCCACTTGCACTTGTGCACATGGATGTGGTGGGGCCCACAAGAGCCCCTTCCCTCTCAGGCAGCCGCTATTTCTTGACAATTGTGGATGACCACACTCGGGCAGTGTGGGTTTACCCTTTGAACAGCAAGGGGGAGGTGGCAGCGGCTGTCCTTAAGGAGTGGATGCCTAGAGCTCAGAGGGAATGCGGACACAAGGTGAAGGTGATCCGCAGTGACAATGGTGGGGAGTTCATTGGAGCTGATTTTGAGGGGGAGTTGAAGAGGAAGGGGATCCAGCATCAACTGACAGTGCCCTACAATCCGCAGCAGAATGGCGTGGCTGAGAGGTTCAACAGGACCCTGCAGGAGGGGGCACGCACTCTCCTTGGGCGTGCAGGGCTACCTGATCCGTTTTGGGTGTCTGCACTGAGGCAGGTCGCCCTTGTGAAGAACAGGGTGCTGGCTACAGTTGGAGATAAGGAGTGGATCCCATATATCAAGTGGTATGGGAGTGCTCCAGCTGTGAACATGCTGAGGGCATTTGGGTGCATGGTAGTGTTTCATGTGCCTAAGGAGAAAAGAGGGAAGTTGGAGGCTTCTGGAAGATGGGGTGTGCACTTGGGGATTGCAAAGGATCACAAGGGATGGCTGCTATGGGACTTGACCACCCAGAAGCTGACAGTGTCAAGGGATGTGAAGTTTCTTGAGTCCCTGTACTACAAGGAATGGAAGCAGCAGCAACAGAAGCTTCCATCTACACCGCTCATTGTGGAGGCAGATGAGGTGCAGCAGCCTTCAAGACAGGTGGAGGTTGCAGTGTCAGAGGAGGAGATGTCTGGGGTGACTGAGGAAGGGGGAGCAGCTGAAGTGGAGCAGCAACAGCAACATGAGTCTCCACCTCGAGTTCCACACCTGCCTGAGCGACCTAGGAGGGATGTGCGCCCTCCAGTGAGGCTGACCTATGGGGGAAGAGGCAGGCCGAATGTGGTGCAGGCTGGGAGTGTGGTTGAGCAGATTGAGGAAGATGAGATCGCTCACTGCTACTGGGCACCAATCCCTGAGCCCAAGACTCGAGAGGAGGCCTTGAATGGACCAAATGGGGAGAAGTGGAAGGCGAGTGAGGATGAGGAGTTCGGGTCCCTAATTGAGAACGAGACATGGGACCTGTGTGACTTGCCTCCTGGAAAGAAGGCAATCACTTCCAAGATGATCTACAGGCACAAGTATGGACCTGAAGGGGAGCTGACCCGCTACAAGTCTAGGCTTGTGGCACGGGGGTTTCAGCAGACAAAGGGGAAGGACTATGATGAGGTGTTTGCTCCTGTGGGGAAAGGAACAACACTGAGGGTGCTGTTGGCGATAGCTGCACTCCTGGGATGGAAGATACGGCAGATGGACATTGTGACTGCCTTTCTGAATGGGATCATTCTGGAGGAGGTGTACATGAAACAGCCAGAGGGGCTGGATGATGGGAGCGGCAGGGTCTGCAGGCTGAAGAAGGCCATTTATGGCCTTAAGCAGGCGCCTCGTGCATGGTATCACAAGTTGGAGGAGGCGCTGTTGGCTGGGGGTTTCAAGAAGAGTGAGTGTGACCCCAGCCTGTTCCTGCTGCAGGAGAAGGATGAAATCCTCATGCTCTTGGTGTATGTGGATGATATCCTTCTCTTTTCTGCATCCACTGCTTTGCTGGACAGCGCAGAGCAGATGCTGGAGATGCAGTTCAAGTGCTCCAAGATGGGTGAGGTGAAGTACTACTTGGGGATGCACGTGGAGAGAGATGTGGAGAAGGGTGTGCTGAGGTTGCACCAGAGGAAGTACTGTGAGGGGCTGGCTGAGAAGTATGGGCTGCAAGATGGGGGAAAGCCAGCAACACCACTACCTTCAGGGTTTACTGTGGAGCCATGTGCTGATGAGGAGGTAGTGGGTGAGAGTGATAGGAAGCTGTTTCATTCGATGGTTGGGTCGCTGAATTATGCTGCAAATCATACACGGCCTGATATTGCATTTGCTACATCACGATTGGCTAGTGTGGTCTCACGCCCTAGTCATGAGCAGCTGGAAGCGGCCAAGAGGTTGGTCCGCTATGTGAGTGCTACGGCATCAGTGGGATTGGAGTACAGTGGAGTGAGGCAGCGGTTGCAGAGAGGTGCTGCAGATGTGAAGAGTGGAAAGATGCTCTTGAGTTGCTATACTGACGCTAGCTTCAACTCAGTGAAAGCGGATGGCACCAGCATTGGGGGTTATGTGTGCTTGCTAGGAGGTGGTGCTGTGAGCTGGCGCAGCAAGAAGCAAAATGAGGTGGGATTGTCCTCATGTGAGACTGAGTACATGGCCTTACACCATGGGGCCAAGGAAGTAGTGTGGCTAAGGCGTTTGTTGGAGGAGTTGGGAGTTGGTCAGGAGAAGCCGACAGTTGTGTTTTGTGACAATGAGTCCGCTGTGAAGCTCGCCAAGAATGCTTGTCTGCATGGGCTGACAAAACACATAAGGCCTAAGTGGCATTGGGTGAGGAGAATCCTTGATAAGGAGGTGCGGCTGGAGATAGTGAAGACCCATCAGCAGGCAGCAGATATTTTCACCAAGCGTCTGGCGGAGGCGGATCATTGGAAGGGCATGAAGCTTGCTGGGATGAGTGTGCATTGAGTATGCATGCTTGAGATGTGGTATGGTGGATGATGGTTGGCAGCCAGAGGGGGAGATTGTTGTGTGATGTCATCATATGCTATCACATTCTGTCTGCCTCCCATCCCATGTTTTCAACTTGCATGTGTGGTTTGAATGTGCAAGCATTTGTGTGGTGTGTGTTCTGGAGTTTGGGAATGTGTTATGTGTTATTTTGTTTGAGCAGGTATTTGTGATGATAGATCTTGAGAAGATCTTTCCGACGCAACAAGAATCTCTTCAATTGGAGCAACAACGCGAAAGCTATGAAGATTCAAAGTTCATGAGCTTGCGTTACAATTGCGGCGGTTACTAAGTGAAGTTGTGGGGTGACTTTATATGGAGTTGGGACCTTTGGGGTTGGGGAAACTTGTCACTCTACTGTAACAGCTGCAAATAGGTTGGGAACAACCAAGCTAGGTTGGCAAGGGTGGCCAACTTGGATGGATTGGTTGGGAAGGGACAAAGGTCAAAGTTGAGGTTCCTATAGGGAGGGAATCTTTGTGCTTATGGGGTTTCCTTGGTTGGGGACTCTCTTGGGACCTTCCCTCTCATCCCTCTCTTCCTATCCCAACCTTTCTCTTGCTCCTTCAAATTCCTTGTGAGATTCTTGAACTTTGATTGAACCTTTTGAGATTGAGTTAAGTTCTCCTCCTACAGCTTACCCCCTAATGCGTCGAAAGCCATAGCGTCGCGAATACTTCATCAATCAACGTGATTCAAATTGGGAACGGTAGCTGAGATTAAGAGCTACAACATATCCAAGTTTCGCGACATTCCAACGGCTAGTTTTTCGTCGACGTTGTTTCTTGTGAAGACGACTTTTCTGTCCAGAATTTCGGATTTATATTTTGAGTAATTCTAGTTCCTAAGTTCACCTAGACTCCGTCCTTAATCCTAACACTCACCAAGACCCACAAGAAGATGGAAGCGGGGGACACACGGGATCCTGTCTTCCGCAATTACATGAGGACCGCGGGGGTGCTGGCGATGCACGAACTGGAGGAGCGCCTTCGCCTCGCCAAGATTAAGACGCGGACAATCTTTGTACGTTAACTAGACCCTGAGGCATGGGTTTGGGGATTGGGATGGAACGTGAGGGCGGGGCAGGGAGTGGCAGGGTGACTGGGCACCTTATGGCAGGGAGGAGATGGCCGTGAGTGGGAGGGAGTGGTATGGCTTGGAAGGTCAAGGGACGGAATGGACAGTGATGGGAGGGAATGTATGGGCATGGCATGGAATGGGAGGGTATGGACAGGGACGGGAGGGAATGGATTGGGAAGGCATGGAATGGGAGGGTATGGACAGCGATGGGAGGGAATGGATGGGGATGGCATGGAATGGGAGGGTATGAACAGCGATGGGAGGGAATGGACGGGGATCGCATGGCCTGGGAGGGTATCCCAGGGATGGGAGGGAATGGATGGGGATGGCATGGAATGGGAGACTGCATTGACTACTTGGCTACCTCAGCTCTTAGGGTCCCATTTAATAAATGGGCATGGCATGGAATGGGAGGGTATGGACAGAGATGGGAGGGAATGGGAGGCCATGGACGGGGATGGGAGGAAATAGGAGGGAATGCACGGGGATGGGGGGGAATTGGAGGGAACGGGGTAGGAAGGAATCACTGAGAATGGGAGTGGGAGTGGGAGGGAAAGGGCCGCGAACAGCAAGCTCTCGCAGGATTTGGAGAGAGAGTCAGGGAATAGCAAGGAATGAGTCAAGTGGGACGGGGAGGGGGCCTTGGGAGCGGTACCAGTGGGATTGGTGGGGTTTGGCCAGTGAATGGCATGGAATGGCAGCAATTTGGTGGGACCGGGCTCTCTTTTTTCCACACCCTAAACCCTACCGTGGCCCCTCTGTCCACGTCTCCCCTCTATCCCCTCCTGAGCTCAATCCGTCTAATCATACAATATGACTATCATGTGCCATGGTACCATGCCTCCTTGCCAAGCGCTGCCCTCCCATCTACGATAATTCAAGGCACACTCGTGCCCCCTCTCTACACCCACCCGCCTTCCCTGAACTCCCCCCATTGCCCCCTACCCTAAACCCAGGTCCACACAGCCATGGCCATCCCCCCCCATGACAGCATGGAGTGGACCTCAAAGGGCCAGTTCGTGAAGGCGAGCCCTCACGAGCGCCTCTTCTCTGACGTCTCGATCAGGCCTGGCGGCGGCGTGGGGGAGCCGTGGTATGGTCGTGTCCTGGTGCTTTTCCATTACCAGGATGGGGAGGTGGAGAAGCGCGGGGCGTTCATCCAGTACTACACCGAGGCGCAGAAGCCTTGCCCCATCACCAGGTGCAAGCGCCTGACGCCAACCTTGGGCATCGACAACTATGCCGTTGTGGACGTGGACAGCATCCTGAGCCTTGCACATGTGGTTCCGTGCTGCACGGACCCGAAGTACCGGCTCGTTAACCGGTTTCTTTTCTGAACCACCGGTTGCGCTCTTATTTATGCATGACTTTGTTTAAATTGACCTTGTCTTAGAGGTTGACAATTGAGTGACTCGTACTGAGCATGATACTTTTAGTTTGCAGCGACAACCATTCACAGTGCTCGCAGCAGGTGATGACCCCACTAATAATATAGCAACAAACCCTATCATTTTTATTTCCCACACATGATATATTCCATACATAAACAATTACGTTCGAACATAACAAAAAAAACACAGGAGTGTACTACGATTGGACAGACGCTTATCGCTTTGAAATCATAGGGTTTAGAAATCGTAGCTTTTGCAAAACATACATTTTACATTTACACCCTGCCAAATGCTACGCGAACGTTCTGCGAATGGTATTTGAATGTTCTGCAGATAGTCGGCATCCTCGCTCCACCTCGAATGGTTTTTAGATTGCCACTTTTTTGCGATGAGCCATGCCTGCAATGCCCATACATGCATACAGCCATGCATGCTATGCCCATACATGCATACAACTAGGTATGCTATGCCCATACACACATACAGCCAAGCATGCTATGCCCATACATGCATACAGCCATGCATGCTATGCCCATACATGCATACAACTAGGTATGCTATGCCCATACACACATACAGCCAGGCATGCCATGCCCATACATACATGCAGCTAGGCCATCCCCTTACACACATACAGCCAGGCATACCATGCCCATACACACACACAGCCAGGCATGCTATGCCCATATACACATACAGTCAGGCATGCCATGCCCGTACACACACACAGCCTGGCATGCCATGCCCATACACGCGTACAGCCTGGCATGCTATGCCCATACACACATACAGCCAGGCATGGTATGCCCATACACACATACAGCTAGGCATGCCATCCCCATACACACATACAGCCAGGCATGCCATGCCCATACACACGCACCAGTCAATGTTGATAAGGTTGCGGCACATCACGTTGCCCACTACTGCTGGGTTGAACGCATTCACCTGAGGGGGTGAGGAGAGACACGGTAGGGACAGGCAGGATAAGGAAAGGAGGAGGGTGTGGGGCGGAGAAAAGGCGAGGCACAGAGTGTCGCACCGAGTCACACTGCTGGCTGCTGCGAGGTTGAAAGCATTGACCTGAGAGGGTGAGGTGAGACACGGTAGGGGCAGAATCGGGGAAGGAGGGAGGTGTGGGGCGGAGAGAGGAGATAGGAGTGAGGAGAGAGGTGAGAGGAGAGAGGAGATAGGAGAGAGGAGATAGGAGAGAGGAGATAGGAGAGAGGAGATAGGAGAGAGAAGATAGGAGATAGGAGAGAGGAGATTGGAGAGAGGAGAGAGGAGATAGGAGATTGGAGAGAGGAGAGAGGAGAGAGGAGATAGGAGAGAGGAGATAGGAGAGAGGAGAGAGGAGAGAGGAGAGAGGAGAGAGGAGAGAGGAGAGAGCGCACGGCACTAGCGCGCACGGCGCCGGCGAGCACGGCGGCAGCCCCGGCGCGCACGGTGGCAGCACGCACGGCGCCAGCGCGCAAGGCGCAAGCGCGAAACGCGCCAGCGCGCAAGGCGCCAGCGCAAAATGCGCCAGCGCGAAACGCGCCAGCGCGCAAGGCGCCAGCGCGAAACACGCCAGCGCGCAAGGCGCCAGCGCGAGACGCGCCAGCGTGGAAGGTGCCAGCGTGCAAGGCGACAGTGAGAAACGCGCCAGCGCGCAAGTCGCCAGCGCAAAACGGGCCAGCGCGAAACGGGTTACGGGCTCCGCGCCAGGTGGCAGTTAGGCATGATAAGGGAAAAGAGTTAGTTTTGAATTAGGACTAGGTGTGAGCAAGGAAGTCAGTGTGAGCAAGGACTAGGCGTGAGCAAGGACTAGGCGTGAGCAAGTACTAGGCGTGAGCAAGTACAAGGAGTAAGCAAGAACTAGGTGTAAGCAACTAGGTGAGGACTGACCTACACAAGCAAGAACTAGGCACGAACGAAAGAGCAAGAACTAGGTACAGTACAGTAAGTGGGAAGGACGAGCAGAAACAAGAAGCTCCAACAAGCCCTACCAGGGGCGTATTCGCTTTGCCCCAGAAAGCTAAACCAAGTACAATTCAGCAAAGTTACTACACCCAAGTATTCTATTAAATAGCATGTATTACAGTCCGATTTCTATTACACTCACCTCAAGTTTGGTTCAGGTTTGTATTCTCGCACGGAGAGCGAGTCCCGTCGAAGTGAGAGACTGTACAGCGTTACAGTCACGAAGCAGATAAATCAATCGTTCCCGCCCGAAACGAAACCGCCGATCTAAACGAATACTTCAGAAATACAACACTTCTTTTATATGAAACCGTAAATTATTGCACTAGTTATTAATGTTACATGCTACATTAATCTTGTAGTATTTTGCTCACAAAAGTTTTATGCACAACCCAAATGAAAAGAAAAAGGTGGGGGGGAAATACTAACTTGAGTTGTGAACGGGAAAAATTTAGGCATACGCCATCCGACGATTCACGTCGAGCCTTGTGTTTTACTATTTCCTGCTTACAGGTTTGAGCCGCGTGCAAAAACTGTGAAACCAAATAGAA